ATTTATTGGTACCAGGGATCGAACTCGTGCTTGTGAGGCCTTACCAGCTTTTCAAGTATAAAATGGCCATGTTTTATTTCCTGTGAACTGTTTGCTCACATTCTCTACCTGTCTTCTCTGAACCGTTGTGTTTTTCTCATCGGGAAGTGTGGTCTGCTTACGACTGCCCGGAAAGAGCAGCCAGGTTCCCACAGGCAGGTGCAGAGACCAGACAGAACTCCATGTCCCTGCTTTCTCGCTGCTGTCCAAGAAAGGCAAGCAGCGAATGGGAGCCCAGTGATCCCAGGAATATCAGGATGGTATCTTTCTTATGAAAAACAAGGCACAGTTTCAAGGGAATTCCACATTCATGATCTCACTTGGTCATTCCCACAGCACAGGGAGGGGTGTGGGGCTGGGGACACTTTTCTCATTTTACAGCTCTGGCTTTGTGGGAAATGCCTGCCCCTTCCCTACTCACCCGGAAAGATAAGGCTGTGGGGACACATAACTGACAACACTGACAACCCACGAGGGCTTGGAATATTAGATCAATTAATGCTCATCATCACACTGCATGAAGGAGTATGGTCATCTGAGCTGTTCACCAAAGACTTCCGGGCACTTCTCCAACCCTGAGTACCCACAGGGAGGAAGGGTGGGCAAGAGAGGAACCCTCCATTCCCAGGGCTCTGAGGCCACTGTGCTCCCTGCCATGGCAGCCCGCAACACTCTGGAGAGCAGCTGTTCCCCCAGTGTGAGCCCTGGGCGCCCCGAAATGGACATGCGACGTAAATGGTTAGCATTAAGCATCTGTTTGCACAGCCACTGAGCATGTTCATTACTGGAGCATAACTTGCTTTATCCTGTTGTTAGACAAGAAAGGAATAAAGGGGGTACGGAGAATAACAGGGGCAGGATATCATCGAAATGTTATAGGCATGTGTGAAAATTCAAGCGGAAACCCAGTATTTGGTACAGATGATTGTCACTCTGGGCCACATAGTGAGTTCAAGGCCAGCATGGACTACATAATAAGACACTGTCTCAAAAAAACGATAGGAATTAATAAAGTATATTGTAAAAGAGATAAAAACAAATGACTAAAGAGAAAGCCAAAGTGTTGATTGGCTATTTGACAAATTAAAATACACTTATTTCAAAAAACAAAATTTCATAATAAATAGATTATTCTGATTGACTAAACACATAACGAAAGACTTAAGTTCAGATCTGGAATTTTATACAGAAGAAAGTAGTTTGTGCACAATTTAGTAAGAATATTTAAGCAAATTTTTAAAATTAATGAATGAAAAAATGCCTGCAGGGCCAGGGATGTGGCTCAGTGGTTCTGCTGCCTGCCTTGCAAACACAAGGGCCCGAGTTCGATCCCCAGTACCAAAAAACAAAGAGAAAAAAATGCCTGCAGTCTAAAATAAATAAAGAAGCTTAATTGTTGACATTAAAAAATAACTTTTTCTATCCTGACTGATACAAATAGGCATCAGATTTGTCTTCATTTTACAGAGGACAAAGGGAAACCCTAAGAGAAGGTGGCTGCCCAAGGTCTCCCGTGAGCCTAGATGCAAACCCCTGGGCCACTTCAGGGAGCACAGGGTTCAGCCGTGCTGACCACGTGGTCACCACGCACTCAGGGCTGCCGTCACAGTAGCAGCTCCCGTCAACGCCCACACACTGTGTGCAGCCCCCAGGACACTTCCCGGATGTGTGAATGAATGAACAGCAGATAAATGAACAAACTCTGACCGGGCTCCGTCGGGGTCGCAGAAGTGGAAACACAGGTTCATTTCTGGACCTGGGCCTAAAGAGCAGTCCAACTGTGGGACTCTGGTCATCATGCTGAGTTATACTGTTTGTGGTCTTCTTTCTTTTTCCTTGCCATTCCCAGATCATTTCTGTTTTAGGGGCTTTATACTTAAGGTCAAACTGGATTCAAGTTTCAGCTTCTTCTTCATTTTTTTTGGTACTGCGAAATGAACTCAGGACCTTGGGTATGCGAGGCAGGTGGCAGTACCACTGAGCTAAATCCCTGGCGCAAATTTCAGCTTCTTACAATGTGGCTGGGGGGCCAGAGATTTAGTTCAGTGGTACCGCCACCTGCCTCCCAAGCACAAGGTCCGAGTTTGATCCCCATTACCAAAAAACAAACATCATGGCCAGGAAAGTTACATGCAATCTCTCAAATATCAATTTCCATATCCATAAAGCAGAGTTGTTAATAATAATAACAATAATGCTAATACATAGGGATGAGGATTGAAAATAAATGAGATAGCACACATTGCCTGGATCATCAAACTGACATTATTATACCAGCAAACACTAATTAATTAATACTAATATGAACAGTAACACTTGTTAATGATAACCCAAGGCACTGCCCCTTCTGTTGCTAAGCCTCCGTCCCATGCTTCTTACTCCCACCACCTGAGGCCTGCAGGGCCGTACCAGCAATTATGCAAGTCGAGAGTGATGCTGGCCTGGGTGTCTGACCCAAACTTCATGTAGCCCAGTGTCCCTAGGCAGATACAGAGGGAGATGACAAAGGACAGCCCCAGGTACAGAACAAGGGAGAATTGCTGTGGATTCTTCTGGTTTCACAGGCAGAACCTAGAGGTGGAAAGAGTTTGGGGAAGAAAAGGTGGAAAAACATGTGGAACATCAGGAAGATACAGCTGCCTACACAAGCACAATGTCCTTCTTTGGGTTGGCCCAGCGTCGGGAAGGGGCCTCCATGGCCACGCTGCTTTCATTTTCTCTCATGCTCTTTACTGTCAGGGATGCCTGGCCTAGTCTTGGCTATTAGTGAATTCTCACTCAGCCTTCAGGGCTTAATGTGGAATACGGAGCAGTACACATTCTGTACATGTGTGCTAACTTTTCCTTTTCCAAGGGACATTATATTCTTCACTTTTCATAAATGCTATTAATTTATTTGGTTTTGTTGTTGTTGTTGTTGTTGTTGTTGTTTTGGTACCGGGGATTGAACTTGGGACCTTAAACTTGCGAAGCAGGCAGCGAAACCACTGAGCTAAATCCTCGGCCCCTAAATGCTATTAATTTAGACATCTGGAATTAAAAACTAGCCACCCCAAAGAGCAGTAGGAACTATTTGTGTTCAAACTTAACAATCTTACCACACCAACACCTTCAAATGTGAAGATGGTCGTACCAAAGAATAGCAAGAAGGTTTTCCAGTATGCCATCAGGGGTAAATTGCTGGGATATGGGATTCCCTGGAAGAAAAAGAGAAAGGAATTGGCTTTCCCATGGTGTAGAAGTCATCCCAAATCTTTGCTGGTAGAAGCTGGGTTAGACCTGACCTCACATCATAGGACTACCCATAAGATATCTACAGCCTGGTCAGCCTTCTTGTCTTTTAAACCAAGGGACATGGACCCACACTGTGGCCTGATAAGAATCAGGCTGCATGGAAGCAGGTGAGTGAACACAAGTTTCATCTGTATTTACAGGCATTTACCATTGCTTCCATTATTACCTGAGACCCACTTCTCAGATCAGCAGTAGCATTAGACTCTCATAGGAGCACAAATCCTACCATGAACTGCACACATCAGGGATCTAGGCTGGGTGCTCCTCATGAGAATCTAATGCCTGGTCATCAGAGGTGGAGCTGAGGCAGTGATACCAGTGCTGGGGAGTAGCTGCAAATACAAAATAAGATTAGCAGACAGGTCTCACCACAGAGATCATAAGAAGTCAATTGCTTGCAGGCTCCTATCAAAATTTTGTCAATGAGTGACAAGTGACAATTAAGCTGCATCTGGTGGCAGACTTTAAATCAGAAGTCAACACTTATTTTAGTCTGTGCATAGCTTATCCACTATTTTATTTACCACTTCTGCCCATGTCTCTTTCCTGCTCTATGCATTTGTATCAGTCACAGTTTGGTAAGTTCACAAGTAAACCGGGCCAAAATGAGTAAAAAACAAGAATCACTGGAGAGCTTCTTTGAATGGGGTGGGGAGAAAGATCCAGTGATGGGATAGCAGAAGACTACGACTGCCAACAAAAAGAAAGCTGCATTTAAATAAAATACCAAGAGTCCTGTTTAAATTATGGGGTTCAGTGCAACAGGTGATTCACATTCTCCAAGCCTCTTAGTAGAACATGACGACGGGCTATCCAACAAAACCACAAAACCTTCTAAATTGCTTTTCCACGTGGAAACCAAACATCTTGCATTAAAAGACAAGCCTTTGGAGTTTTTCAAAAGATGAAAATATGAACATGAAAAACAGAAGCAATTATTCATCAAGTGTGTCTGCGCTCTGTGCAGCATTCTTAGATTTAACCACATTGCTAAAGCTCAGAAGCCCTTTACTATTGGCGAAGAGTTGTTCCTGCCTGCTGCTGAGAACATCTGTTAAGAATATTTAGGAGAGGCTACTGTTCTAAAGGCAGCATGTGTTCCTCTTTTGGCTGGACCCATAATAAGACAAACTGATGAAGAGCAGTGGGTATTGAGGCATAATTGCTTGAGAAGATTAATGGGTCAGTGTGGTATGCAATATGGGTTGATGAGTCCAGTGTTAACAAGGCAGCAACGCTTGTTTTTGTGTGATATATTTTTCCACAAGATGTGTGTGAGGATATGTTGTGTGCAGTTTTGTTGCCAAATAACATCACAGTTGTAGCATTATTCAAGTACTTGAATGATTATTTATCAGGAAAAATAAATGGGTTGTTTTGTGTCAGTATGTGCACAGAGTGGTTGCCATGAGTGCTTGGCTTTCTGGTTTCACTAAGCAGGTCAAAGCAGCTTGTGAAGTGAGTTTATGTTCTAGGTCATCCATGGAGAAATGCTGGCCAGCTAAAAAATGGTACCAGAACTCAACAACAGTGTTTTGTAGTATGTGATTATCAACCACGTAAAGAATCTGCCTTTAACTCACATCTGTTCATGAAGCTCCGTGAGGAGACGAATGCAGACCACAGGGGTACTCTTATTCACAGAAGCAAGACGGCTTTCTAAATGTAGACCCCTGGCCAGAGTTTTGAGTTATGAGACCTACTCTAGTGATCTCTTCTAGAAAAACACTCACAAGTGGGAGAACATTTCAGTGACACTGAGTGGATCAAAAAACTAGCTTACACTGGGCATGGTGGCGCATGCCTGTAATCCCAGCACTGGGAAGGCTGAGGCAGGAGGATCGCTGTGAGTTCGAGACCAGCCTGGGCTACATAGTGAGTTCCAGGTCAGTCTCAACTACATAGTAAGGCTCTGTCTCAAAAATCCAAAACAAACAAACAAACAAACAAAACTTGCTTACTCATGTGACCTACTCAACCTACTCAACAAACTAAACCTGTCACTTCAGGGGAGAATGACAACTGTGCTCAAGTTGGCAGATAAAGTGGGTGCATTCAAAGCCAAACTGGAATTATGAGGGTGACAAGTGAACTTTGGGATTTTCGATGTTTCAAACATTAGCAGAAATTTCAAGAGACTGAGCCAGGCCCTGCTTTTCCTCAGGTGCTGCATGATCATCTGTATCAGCTTTCAGAAGAGTTTGAACATTACTTCCCAATCACACAAGACCCCCAAACTGGGAAGGAATGGATCTGTGATCCATTTGTGAATAAGCCAGGAGAACTGAGTGTGTCCATGCTAGGAGATCAACTGCTTGAGATTATAAATGATGGTGACTATAAAGTATGTTTGAGGGAATTTAAATCCCCACATATTCTGGATTAAAGTCAGAGGAATGCCTTGCAACTGCCACAAAAGCACTGAAAAGCTTGCTACCATTTCCAACATCCTATCTTTGCAAAGCAGGGTTTTCTGCAGTGACCTCATCCAGAATGAGATAATGGAGTTGCTGGACATAAGTAACATACTGGTGCTACTGTCTCTCCTCACCTCCATCAGCCCCACGTGGGATAGTCCAGAAGCAGGAAAACAAATCAGGGGATACGTGATTTTGCATTATGGTGCATTGCATAATCATTTCATTATATACTATAATGTAACAATAATAACAGAAATAAAGTGCACAGTAAATGCAACATGCTTGAATCATCCGAAAGCCATCATTCCGCCTCCATCTGTGGAAAAATTGTCTTCCATGAAAACTGGCTCCTGGCGCCAAAAAGGTTGGGACTGCTGATTTAAAGATTACTCATGAAGTGCCAGGTAATGAGAAGAATGTGAGTTCTGAGCTCATGTCTGGGACAGGAACTGGTCCAGGTGAGAACAAGAACCAGGGGTGCTGAGTAGGATACCTTCAGGGAGAAAGGGTTTCTGAGTTAACGTCATGGTCATTAAGCATGAGGGACAATGAAATAGATACTGTATTATTATTATTATGGGATGTGGACCATAAAGACTGCCCAGGAAGTTTTGGACGGGAATAAGGACACTGTTAGGAATTGGAGTAGAGGCCATGCCTGTTACAGGCTGGCAATAAAGTCTACATTTTTTCCACGCCCTGAGACTGTGGGTGAAACTGAATTAGAAGATTGGATTGGTTCATCTGGAAGAGATTTCAAGTCAACACAGCTTTCAGGCAGTGTCATGAGTTTCATTGGCTACTTTGATCTAGATTTACAGTGAGTATTGTGCACAAAAGCCCAGCAGAAAAATGTGAGAAACTTGCAGTTTGGCCAGAAAAGCCATGGCTGCAGTTGCTGAAGATAAAAATGAAGCCAATTTCGCAGGGGGACAATCAGGAAAATGCCTTCAGAGGTCTCAGGAACTGGCCAGACCCCACCTGCCACAGCTTCAAGGGTATACAAATATGGACTCATTTGAAAGACTGCTTTCAGAAGAGAACACCAGACATGCTGCTTGAACATGGCCACCTAGACACTTGTTTCCTAAGGTTTGTTTCACAGTGCTCAGCAGTCTAGGCAGCCATGCATGGTCCAAGCGGACACGGCCACTGCTCCAGCTGGTGGAAGATCTTGGCATCATCCACATGGTGCTGGTTTTTCAAGTAGGCAGAGTGCACGAGCTGTAGGCTTCCACCCAGATTTCAAAGGATGGTAGGGAGGCCGGGTAATGCAGGGCACCATCACAGCCCGCCGGCCTAGCTGCGAAAGCAATGTGTGAAGTGTGAGAGTGAAACTGAAGCTGCAATGCTTCGGGAGTGGGGAAGGCCTGCTGAGGAGAGGCACAGGCAGTGAGCACAGCCAGTCCACACCGCCACGGGAGCTGCGGCCAACAAAGATCTAGAGGGGGGCTGTCCACGCCCTGAGGAGCTCCTGTCATGCACCAGCTGCCCTGGGTGCCAGAGACACGGAGCTGCAGGATTGTGTTTGTTCTGACGGGCTTCTGGTCTGGCTTTGCTATCCTCCTCATCTTCCTGTTCATGTCTGCCTTGTGCCTGCCCCACCACTGTACGTTGGAAATGTGTGACCCTTTTTATTTTTACTGGGTCTCACAGCTAAGTTTGCCTTGAGTCTTGGAAAGGACTCTGGACCTGGGCTTTTGGGCAATGCTGTAACTCCTAAAACTTTGGAGCCTCTTGGAGATGGATTGAATGCCGTTTGTATTATGAGACGGAGGTGAGCCTCTGGGGGTCAGGGGGAGAGTATTACAGCTTGGGCCTTAAATGTCCTCTGGAAGCTCACAGATTGCAAGCTTGGTGTCAAGCTGATGGAGCTGCTGGGAGTGATGGAAGAACCAGGAGGTGGTGCCTGTTGGTGGGAAGTCACGGGATGTGATTTCTAAGGGTATATTTTTGAGCGCTGGGGCTAAGTCACCCCAGGCTGAAGCCTTTATGCGTCAAAAGAAATTTCTTCTCCTTCAAGCTGATTTTTTTTTCAGATATTTTGCCACGGTAATGGAAAAACGACCAAGACAAAGACCAAAGAATATTCTATTAGATATTACTTTTTTTGTCCATCAGTTGTAGGTTTCCAGGTTTTGGTTATGGGGACTACTCTTATCTCTCCACATTTAGCGGGGGACAAGGGAGAAGAGGGAATCTCCCGAGGCCCCTTTTCAATTCACTGACACAGCTGGGTTAAGGATTCAGCCTTCCTGTCGCCCAGCCCTGTAATGCTGCTTTCCTGTCACTTCGGTCGGACCTCTGCAGTCCACTGGTGGGTCTGCAGGAATGGCGGTTCTGATGTTCTTCTCAGGTGGTAGAACAGTGGCTCCCAAAAGATGGCTGCACTTCAATTCCAGGGACCTGTGAGTACATCATGCTGCACGGCAAGGGAAAGTTAAGCTTTCAGATTGAATTAAGGCTGCCACAGCTTCCTAGGGTTTGTCTCACAGGGTTTGATTATCTGAGGCAAACAAGGGTCCTTAAAATTGGAAGAGGGACTCAGAAGAGGAGACCAGAAGGATGACAGCACTAGAAAGACTTGGCCTGATGTTGCTGGCTTTGAAGATGGTAGGGGCCACGGGCAAGGCCTGCAGAGGCGGGAACAGGCAAGAGAGCAGGTTCTCCCCTGCAGCCACCAGCTGACACCTTGACTTTAGCACAGCGAGAACTCCAGAACTGTTAACTTGTGTTGCTGTAAGCTACTAATTTGCGACTACAGTCATACCTTGGTTCATGAATGCTTCTGTTTGTGAACAATTTGATTCATGAACAGAAGCGTTCAGCAAAGATTTGCTTCATTCTTAAATGGGTGACGAGAATGATCATGGCCTCTTTCCCGCATGAACACAAATGTGGCCACCTTTCCTGCTGGGACACGTGGTCAGATTCCTCTAGTTGAGACTGCAGTCACAGACAGACCTGCGCACACTTGCTCTGTAGCTTTTTCGGTGCTTCTTAGCACATACAGTACAGTATTATTCAATCCAGCATGGCTCCAAAGAAAGCGCAGAGCAAACATGGTGGTTAAAAAAAAAAAAAGTGCAGAATGGTAATGAAGGTGACAAGAAAGTGCAGAGCCAGAATGGTAAGAAGATGGTTTTGAAGAAAACAGTCACTGAAGTGAAGAAGCAAATTGTAGAAAAGTGTGTGTGTGGTATTTGTATGCCTGATCTGGCCTCAGAGTATAACATGGCAAAGTTGACAATCTCAACTATTTTGAAGAATAAAGATGCCATAGAGCTGATGTGACAAAAGGAGTGGTGATGTTAGCCAAGCAGAGGACACAGTGCTTGGAGATGTGGAAAAGCGTTTGTTAGTATGGCTGAATGAGAAACAGCTGGCAGACAATAGTGCTAGTGAAGCTATGATCTATGAAAAAGCCAGGAACTTTCATGGTGATTTACTGAAAGAAAACCCTCTACAAGAGCAACAAGTGATGAATTTAAAGCCAGTAGAAGGTGGTTTGATGAATTCCACAAGAGAAGTGGCCTCCACATTGTAATAAGGAAGGGTGAGGCTTCTGGTTCTGACAGGGCCATTGCAGAAGTTGGTAAGAAAGAATTTGCAGAATTCATGAAGGCAGGATACGTCACTTAAGAAGTGCTCACTGTGATAAAACAGGGCTCTTGTGGAAGAAGACACTGAACACAACCTGTGTCACACAGGAGGAAAGGGCACTGATGCGGTACAAGCTCTTCAAGGACAGACTGACCCTTCTGCTGTGTGCTAATGCAGGCACCCATCTGAAGATTAAGCCGTTACGGGTGTCCCATTCCCAGACCTCTTGTACACTGAGGGGCCAGAATGTGAATAAGGCCAGGCTGCCTGCCACGTGGAGGCCAGTGTGAAAGCTTGGGTCACAAGGCAGTTGTTCGCGGAATGGCTGCACGAGGTGTTCACAGCCACCATCAAGAAACGTCTGTCTGGCAATCGCCCGCAAGGTGCCTTCTCCCGATGCACAGTGCCACGCCACACCTCCAGCCTTGGCGGATGATACGGACACCGAGCGCAGCTTCATGAAGGTCAAATTCCTCCCCACAACAAGACTCCTCTTCTGCAGCCCAAGGACCAGCAAGTGACCTGCAACTTCAGGAAGCTGCACACAGAGGCGCTCTTTGCCAGGTGTCACGGAAGAGATGGGCTAGCAGTGATAGATGAAACCACTAGGGGAACGGAATGAGCGCCAGGACTGCTTAGAGAAGCACCTCCCACACAACTGTAACAGACGGAGCGTGACTCTGACGAACAACAACATGGTCTCTCATTTCCAGAGGGGCACGCAGTGCAGGAAAACACAAGAGACGTCAGGCAGCGTTTTCATCAAAACTGACCCTGCAGCCAAGAGACAAAGAGAGGAAACCCCTGACAGAGATCTCTCCAACGCCTTATGTAGAGGCCTCTCCTTCCAAACGATGACCTCCTGCCCACCCATCTTCCTGTCCTCCATGCCAGAAGTTACCTCAAGCAAGGTTAGTATTTGTGACCAAGGTACCACTGTATCAGTTACAGTGGCAACAAGAAACTCATACAACTGTAAAAACTTTCAGGTCCAAAGAAATGAAACTATAAAGGTAGAATTTCAGGACAGTGATGATAGGAGAGCATGGGCACGGGAGGCAAACTAACTAGAATTGGTAGAAGGATCACTTTCTGTTTATCAAGTCCTTTGTCTGTAAACTGGGGATAAAGATAGTACTCTCCACACAGGATCAGTGTGAAGATCCATTAAGATAAAACTGTAAAGTACTCAGCAGCAAGTAGATTAAATTCTTTTATCATCTATGTATTCCTTGTCCAACTGTTACTGTTACAGTTTTGGGTGGTTATTTAATCAGTGTTAATCTCTCCACGTAAATGCAACATGTGACAGTGGGCACTTTATCTGTTTTCACTTGCTACTGAGTTTCCAGTCCTTTGCACAACAACCAGATTATAGAAGGTACTCAGAAACTATGAGTTGTTCAGTGACTGTCGTCCAATACGACAGTGAGGAGGAGGAGGGGGAAAGCTGAAAATCGCCTTTGATAGCCCATGGGACAGAAATATTCTTAGATCTCACCTTGGCAGGGACCACTCAGAACAGGGCGCCACCTTCCTCCTCCTTTCCTGCCCATCACAAACACAAGACCCCCATGTATCTCAGAGGCCCTGGCTCTGACTCCCTTCTTCCCATGGTTTCAGACACAGACCTGGTTGATACATTCAAAGATCAGCGCCATACTCCCAGGGTGGCGATGTTGGCCAGGGTTGAGAAGATAGACAGCAACTTGAGGTTCTGGGTAAATGCCAGCGTGATCAGGAAGGGCAGGACTGTCGGCATATAGAAGCGAATGTCCAGGATAGGGGTCAGCACCAGGATCTTCCTGGGCTGGCAGGTGCCGGAGATGACGTGGGCCTCTTCTACTATCTGAGAGAGCGCGACGAAAGGCAGAGTAGTTGATGATCAGCAGAGGATGCCTACTGCAATCTGAATTTCAGATGATCAGCAGGCAACTTTTTAGTACACACGTTCCAAATCTTGCATACTTAAAATAAAAGCAATAATACTATTTATCTGAAATTCCATTTTAATTGGGTGCCATGCGTTTTTATTTTCCAAATCTGGCCACCATAACTGTGGTGCCCATGAGTGTGATAACCAGAAATGCTTAGGATCATAAAATCTCAAGGCTCAAAGGCCCTTTTGTCATCTAGCCCCATCTCCTTTTCCCCACCAAGTGGTTGTTTTCTTTCATACAACTAGAGACAGGGAGCACATCACATACACATATCCTCTTCAACCTTAACTCTACAACTTGGAAATCTGTTTGAATTGTGCCTCTATAGGGCTGGTCAGAGACCTCTGGCTGTGTACATGAGCAAAAACGAGTATGCTCCTCTACTCCACAAAGCTGCGAAGGGATGCTAGGACCAATCTGCAGTGATCAGGGGTGCAATAAGGCAAAGATGCAGCTAGTTTGCCTTACATTTAGTTATTCAGCATCTTTTACTATCTCATGATAGTCAAAGTTCCTTTCAGGCTGAAAATTAAGCTAATTTAGCCTCTGTCTCTTCCCTTTAGAATGTGATTCTCAGCACTTAACAGAATTCCTAACTGTGGTCTAATCAGGGAGCAGAAGTGAAGCTGTCAGCTCTTACAAACATATATGCTATATATTTGCTAATGTAACCCTAGCAGTGGGAAGTCTGCTTTTCTCCTACTCTGAGAAGAGGTCTCTTTACCTGTTGTAAATTGTCTGATATAAACAAAATAAACACTGCAGAAGCCCAGCTGGGTAATGATTAATAAGAAGCTGATAGGCCGGCGATTTGGCTCCACGGTTCGGTGGCCTGCCTTGCAAGCACAAGGACCCGAGTTCAATCCCCGGTACCGAAAAAAAAAGCAGCTGACAGTGTACCTGAAAAAAGAGGCACAGAGAGAAACAAACATTAAAATTACCTTTAATAACTTTAGTTATTAAAGTGCTTTTTTTTTTTAACAATTACTATATGTTTGTTTTGGGATGAAACCCCAGTGCCTGTCACACACTAAGCAAGTGCTCCACTATTGAGGAATGTCCTCAGTTTTATACATAGCTTTGTATTAAAACCCTTAAAAATTTCAATTGCTATATTTCCTTGCTCTGTTTCTTTTTCTTACAGCTTTTTATTTTTTTGTTGTTGCTAAAGACCTCGCATATCTGTCCTGTAGTATATCTTGTTTCCTGCATGTGGTTGACGACTTCCTTACACTATCATGTGTCTTGTTCCTCCATCCCATGACCTTAATGAGAAGTGGCCCACAGGAGCTGCGAGAAGGAAGGGCCAGGCATGGCGGGGGCACCTGCGATCTCAGCACTTGGGAAGGTGAGGCAGGAGAGCAAGTTTGAGGCTAGTTTAGGCAATGTGGCATGATCTTGTCTCAAAATAAAAAAAAATTTTTAGGGCCGGGGATTTAGCTCAGCGGTTCAGTGGCCTGCTTCGCAAGCGCAAGGACCCGAGTTTGATCCCCGGTATCAAAAAAATAAATAAATAAAGTAAAATAAAAATTTTAAAAGAACTGGGGATGTGGCTCAGCAGTACAGCACTGGCCTCACAGGACAATCACCAAGAGGGTGGGGGCAGCGGAGTAAAGAGAAAAGGGTAAAAAGAATAGGCTGTCACGGAGACAATGGCAAACCAGGGAGCACATGTCCAGTTCTGAAAGGGTCTCAGCTCTGGGAGAACAAGGAACAAGGAAGCCCCAGATGTGCTGGAGTAGCTACTGGGTAAGGACAAGGCAGAAAAAAACTTTGTAAAAAACTGTAATCCAGCGCAGACGACGTATCTAAAAGTGCACCCTGATTTAATATAATTGTCTTATGTTTTACATATTTTTTGCATCTTAGCTTGGTTGTTCATGTGTATGTACAATTAACTTTAGAGGGACTTAAAATAAATAAATGAATCTGATGCTGGCAAAAGCGGGGAGGGGAAGGGAGAAAAAGAACTGAGACGTGTTATGTAAGCGTACTGATTCCCCACAAAGTGCTAATAGAAATAATTTAAAAAGCAGTTCACATTAGAAATGCTTTTTTAATCTTTAATTTTTATTAGCATGTTTGCAGTATCCGGTCATCAGGTGTAAAGTGCCAGCACGGAAGCCATCATAGTTAAAGGTTAAGCTCACCCTCCTGAGAGAACAAGAAAGGTCCAAGGTCACTAAAAAGGCAGCATTTACTCAGGAAAATGGTCAGGAACAAACACCAAATGTGAACATTCCAGGTAAAAGAGATAGATGATTCCCCTAAAGATTAACCATAGCCCTACACTTTGTCATGAAAATGGCGTTCCTATAAAGATTAACCGCAACTTTGTGCTTTGTCACAGCCTCGTCCTGTGCAAATTGTACGCTCTGTTCCTTTCTTCTAACCGTCGCATTTCACTTCTGTAATTTTGCTTGCTTCCACCCCATCTAGAAACTTATAAAACCCTCTTGTACTCTGGGCTCGGGGCGCTCCCCAAGTCGTTGCTTGGAAGGGCCATCTTCTTGGGTGTGGCTCGCTGGGTTCCTCTGGGGTGTGGTCTCCCTGCTGCGGACCAGAAGTTCTTCCAAACATTCGTTAAGGTCACTGGTGGTCTTACACAGTGACTGCATTCACTCACTCACTTTCAGATACATTGTCCACTGTTTTGGAAGCCAAGCCCAAATCCTTGGAAGTCCTCAGAAATCTACCTGAAGCACAGAGAGAGGCTGCCACGAATGCCCAGGTGTTGGAGGAACACTGGGCTTGGCCAATACTCCAGGTGTGCCTGTCTAGGCTATGAGGATCAGGCTTTATGAGGAGTTTAATTTCATATTTCCTCTTGCGGTAGACTTTTTTCCCGTAGGAGGACCTATTTGGTTTCTTAAGCCCATGGATCTCATTAGCATTATTTGTTTTCACTACAACGGTCTTTCATTTTCTTTTAATAAATCATTATAGCATCAGCACATGCTAATCATACAGATCAGTGGGATTCACTGCATTCATGGATCATACCCTTCAGCACACTGCTACTTTTGGTTCCTCTTTCCCTGCTTTCCTCCTCCTCCCTCCAGCACTGGTCCAGGCCCTAGGAGTCCTTCTTAATCTTTTCTGTTCCTCCTTCCTCTATCTGTTCCCAGCCACCGTTCCATTCTGTATTTCTACATGGTCGACTTACTAGTTTCCATAAGTGTGAGGACGTTTGGTGTTTGTCTTCCTGGGTATGGCTTGCTTCATTCACCATACTGATGTCCAGCTCTATCCACCAGCAGCAAATGACAGAACTGCGTTCTTTTTTGTGACTGAGTAGTATTCCATCAAGTCTTTTCTTTCTGAGATTGTTTTTGCATTACAGTCGGGAGAAATGGAGAAAGCTTGAGTGTTATGTGTACTTTTAATGACTGATGTCATTGTAAACAATTCATTTCATTGTTAAATATGTTGGTCACTTTTACTAACTTGTCCTAAAAGGGGTTTTCCTGGAACCAGTTATCCTGGCAAGGGATCAGGAGATTATAAGGAAAAGCAGATGGCTAAGCATTGTGCATGTACCCAGAAGTTCATGGGTGCTTCTGCATCTTCTATTAGGTTCGAGCTTCCTGGCTCCGGGGGTGCAGGACCCTGGTGAACCCTTCCAGCTCACTCGGTTTGCACCAAAAATGTCTACTTGGGATTCCCACCCCCCCACATCTTTAGGATGCACTGCAGTTGGGGCAGGGGCTGAAGAGGGGCCCTGGTCATTGGGCTAGCAGTCAAGGGGAGCTCGAAATCCCCAGTGTAAGGTAAGTGCCTTGAAATGGCTGCCGCCATCGTGATAAATAACTTTCTTCTTCACCTTAAAGTTTCCATTCCCCACCTCATGCGTCATGGGTCATAATAAAGCCCAAGGGTGGCCGAGTGGCTGCCTGTGCAGCTGACATAATCCCCAACCCACCTACACCAGTCACCCAAGCCCCTTTCCAGGGTGCTCTCTCTCTCCTTTGTTCCCTTTCCACCGAGAGGCCACCGTGCTGCCCGGGCTCTTTAACAAAATCTCGCATATGAGCTCTGTCGGTGCACAAAGTGATCTTTGGCAGGTGCCAGTTCCTTTCACCCAGGGTGAGAGAGAAGTGGGCTCTAACCTGTGCTTGCGATGTTGCACAGTTCAGCAGGATGACCGTGCAGTGCACTGCGGGGATCCCAATGGCCAGCAGGCTGAGGGGCCTGATCTGCAGAGGAGGTGGCCATGAGCTGCCAGCCCACCGTGCCCCTCTCTGGCCCTCTCCCTATTGAATAAAGCTGCCTCTAGGACAAGAGACCTGCTGAATGTCTGGGTGGCCCTGCAGGTCTGCAGGGCCATCCCAGGACCACTGCAAAGTGGCTGCTTAACCTCTGCTAGGATTCCTCCAGTGGCGGAGAGCTCCCCACCTCCCCACATGGCTATGTCTTTTCTCATCTGCCTCCAGTTGTAGCCTACTGGTGTCTTTCAGGGCAATTTTAATTCCTTTATACACCCTAGTAGTAGAAACAGCTAAGTTAGACAGAAATTAATATGCAGTGAGACAGGCATTGGGCCCTGGATGTCAGCACAAAAAAAATTACAGACATCAGAATTGTGGCATGAAGTAAGTAAATTGAAAAAAAGCCAGGCCCCAGGATGGAAGCAATATCAGGCCTGCAGTCTCCCTAGAGATGAACGGCAATTAGGGTTATACTATGATTAACCCGTGGGCCTAGACAGGCACCAGACACATACGTGGGGACCAAAACACCTGGGCCCACACTCCTCTCCCTTTCAGAGATTTCCTTGTTTTTTTTCCGTGTACTATATGACTCATTTCCTTATTGGATCAATATTACCTAAGTGGCTATATACTTGTAATCCTGCAGGGTGACTGTAGCCTGACCCAGGCTGTACCTATGTTGTCCTCTGCTGTATAAATGACCCCTGACGAAAGGCCTTGGTGGCCCCCTCTCAGGACCTCTCCTGTCTGCGGAGCTTTCTGTTAACAACCTTTACTACTCTTAATCTCCTGTCCCTTGGAATTCATTCTTCCACATTTGGAGAACGAGGACTCAAGATGCCTGACATCCAGTAAGTGGGGAATTATGTTTTTCCTCTAACACTAGTTCTCACCTTCTCTCAGATAGTTGAAGACCAAGGTTCCTTGTAGGACTGAGTTTCCTTCCTTTACTGGACGCACAGCATGGGGGCTCTGCTGACTGCAGCAGCTCAGCTTTAGCTGTAAGGAGCAGTGCCGTGGGATGTGGGATGGTCAGCAGCACCTCCACCCGCTGGCTGTCAGTGACCTCCCCAAGGCCATGACAGTCATGGACATCTCTAGTCTACAGCAGGGTGGGGGGTGCACAAAATCAGTTTAGTTGAGGATCACTGCTCCTAACGTTTATCAACATTCCTTTAAAAAGGTGTAGCCAGTTATGAATAATAATCTCCAAGATGAGATCAGAAAGACAAAAAGGACGCTCCCACTGGCTGTGTTTTGGACACTCATGCCCCGAGACAACATTACCTGTCATAAAGAAACAAGTGAAGGATCAACAGCACCACTAGACTTCACTCGCGTGGAGCCTCCATGGGCTGAGTCTTTCTTGTCTTGTTGATTTGTATATTCCCAGGGCCTAAGGATGTACACAGTAGACGCACAGTAAATCTCTCTCAACTGGATCAGGGTTGAGGGTTCTGGGGGGACCATTCAACAACTCATAGGAGGAAAAATCTGAAGCCTAAAAAAGTCATCTTAAGATGCTCATGCCACCTGGGTGAGGATGGTCTGGCTGGACACCAGGTTCTTATACTCTTCTGCACGCTGTTTGGAACCCAGAAGACTCCAAGAGGTAAGTCCCACCATTAGGATGGAACCACTGCAGAAGTTATGGCAAGGAAGCAATGGCTTGGATGTGCCTTCCTTAGACGCAGGAGCCACTTACAGGCCTGGGGAGAAGGAAAGCTTGGTGCGGCTGTGTGGAAATATGTATTGGTATCATTTCAACACAACTACATTAACAGGGGCTTCCTGTGTGCCAGGCCCAGAGCATCTCCTATAGGGAGATGTGAAGGGAAATCAGACAATTCCTGCGCCCATGGCCTTCAATTAAGTTAGGAAGACAGGTCTATTTAAAAAATAAGCATGTCTCACTTGGGTGAAGTGCTTTAAGAATTTTGGGTGAGAGTCCGGTGTGGTGGTGCACACCTGTAATCCCAGCACGTGGGAGGCTGAGGCAGGAGGATCCCTGTGAGTTCGAGACCAGCCTGGGCTACATAGTGAGTTCCAGGTCAGTCTCAACTACACAGTGTCTCCCACGGGTGAGACAAATATAAGTGGCAGAGAAATACAAGGTGAGGGCAACATTCATATTCGTAAGAAACAGTACAGTCAAGAGACAGATTTCAAAAGGCAAGGATCAGGCAAGGAACAGCCAGCAGGTGCAGGGGAAGGGGAGTCCTGGGTGTCCCCCTAAACTCACGGCCAAGCCTTTGTCATCGAATCAGAGTCACACCCAGTCTCCACAGCACCGGCTCCGGTGTGCGTGACTGAGTGGAGGCCGCGCTGTGTTGCTGTGGTGGGGCTGTGACCCCTCAGGGACACCGAGTCGGACTCCGGGGCACCGGTAAGCACGCTTCCCAGCGCAGCAGGCGCCCCCAAACTGGCCCCTGAGGACAGTGCAAAGGCCCTGGAGACCCGTCCATCCCCCACAGTGGGGGGAAGCTGGTTCCCGCCCACGGAAGCCTCTTACCAACAGGCCCGGCGTTTTTTTACAGCTAGGGGGAGCCCCAGGAGCCGGGTGCCAATGCTGCACTTCAGCAGGTGGATCAGAGTCTGCGCTGGGCTGTGGAGGGAAGAGGAGAGAAAGCACCTGCTGGGGCAACGCGACGGCGACCGGCCAGCTGTGCGCGTGCGCAGTGCCTGCCCCGAGCAGGCTGAGACCCGGATCAGGCCTGGTGCGCATGCGTATGGCTCAGTCCCCGTTGAACACGCCCCAGAGAGAAACTGCTACAATCCTAGAGAATGCCGTAGTACCAATTGGTTCATTAATTGATCTAATTTTGTTTTTTTCTGGCTCCAGGGATGGAACTCAGGACCTTGCGCTTGCCAGGCAAGTGTGATGTCACTGAGCTAAATCCCCGGCTCCATCTAATCATTTCTTTCATGATTTATTCACTTGCATATTATTTATTGAGTCTTACCACATGTCCAGTATCCAAATAGACAATGAAAAGATTAGTAAGAAGGGCTGTAATTTACAGAATATTTATTGGCACTAGGTCAGTTTTAACTCACATTCAGTGCATAGCACGGACACATGGGTTATTTAATGTGACCTTCACAGCGGTGCTGATGTGGGTTGCGGAGGGGGCGAGAGCAGGATCATGAGAATGGATTCAGGACCGGAAGTGAACGGAAAAATAAGTGCAAAAACACTGAATTCCGAGGCAGCAGCCCAGCTCACAGTTCTGGCTCTGCCACTAACCTGCCACATTTAGTTACTGATTGGGGAACCCATCGGCTGCCTACCCCTCATGCTCATCACCTGGGGAAGTGAGGGGACCTCGAGACGCCCTAGAGATCTACTCTTCTTTCGGGCTGAACCACTAAGACCTTAGAAAAATTCCTACAAATGGTATAATTGATAAAAAATATTTTTATTTAATTTTGCTTAACAAAACTAGGGAGTAACAGTAAGAAATTAAAAGCTAAAACCAAACAAAGCACAGTAAAAACCTTGTGTAACGAATAGAAATCCCTCTCTTTTCTCTGTCTCAGCCTCCCAGTTTCCTTCCCCGCAGGTAGCTACTGCTTTTGGTTACATATGTACATGTATGTGTAATGTGTGTGCACGTTCCAAGGTAGGACAGGCCAAATAACTAGCTGTATGCTTTATACAAATGGCACTGTAGGATTTGACATGAAACATTGTAATTCAGAAAGGTACTAATTCGATTCTTCTGAAAAAGCAGGCATTTCCCAGCGTGCTTTATCAACACTAGGTATTGTCACAGTGTCATCACATCTCATGGTTACTCCCCAATCTCATCACTAGATAACAGTCTTGCTGGTAATGAAGTCCTAGAGAAAATTCCAATCTGGGACAATAAATGTAGGGCCTGGAATTAGAAGGTGATCTTATGTCCTTATGTCTCCTAGAGGAGAGGGAAGGGGGGATAAAATGGAAGAAAGAAAGAAGAGCCTCCAGCCTAAGGTGGGAAATTGCTCCTGGAATCCAGCAGCCCGTGTTGGGGGTGACTGATCTATCTGGGTTCTGGGGGACATGAGGGCAACCTGCAGGGCCACAAAGTCAACCTTCTTGTGTCCTGAAGAGCAGATGGCACTGAAAGAGGATCTACTCATGACAGTGTGCTGGCTTCCCCAGCAAGAGGACAATCGCTCCCCTCTTGGGCCCTGGACCAGCTGTCCAAGTCCAGTGGGCTACTGTGGTCCTGTCCAAGCAGCGACATCTTCGACATGGTGGTAGATGGCAGAAGCTCGAGGCTGTGCTCTATGGCAGCCTGGGACCAGCTGAGGGTGGGTTCTTCTCCAGACTAAACATGGTGCAGACCCGGGATCCTGATGGTGCCTGGCCCCGGCTGAGCCCTGGAGTTTTCCACTTGGGGAAGCAGGGGCAGGAGGTGCTGGTGCCCTGGGGGTGTCTTAGGACAGTCTCTTCTCAGGATGATCTGCAGCCCCCCTCAGGGGCTCAGATCCCATTCAGGACTCCTGGGCTCTCAGCCTATCCCAGTTGAGCCCTGGCTGCTTGGACGGAGAAGGAAGCATTTGCCTGGAGGCACTGATGCTGGGTTGAGGCCCAGGCTCCACGCTGAGCTGGCCCAGGTAAGGAGGAAACCCAAGCAACCTCATAATGGAGGTTGCCTGGCTGACAAGCTGCTCAGAACTCCAGGGGGCTGGGGTGGCCCCAAAGGTGTCCTCCAGCGCCAGCTCCTCTTGTGTGAGGGTGAAGAGTAGCACATGACGTCCAACTCAGATGCCACCTGTGCGGAACATCAGCATAGCGAGGAGTGTGTGGAAGGAAGTGCGAGTCAACGTTTAAAAATAATTTGTTCTGAAAAGATCTACTGAGTGCATCATATATGCTAAGATCTGTTATCTGTGCTGAAAATAGGTTAAGGCAGAAAATCTACAATTTCTTCACATCGAGTTTACAGTTTGGTGGGGTCTAGGGAGGACAGGAAACAAAAAATTTGTCAGGAGTATATTAACCTGGGTCTGAGAAACGTACTTGTAGTCCCAGCTACTTGGGAGGCTGAGACAGGAGGGCCATGTGAGCCCAGAAGTTTGTGACCAACCTGGGCAACATAGGGAGAAACTGAAAGAAAAAAAGAAAGAGGTGACAAAGAGAGTATGTCTGCTGGTAATAAGTACTAGAGAGAAAGGGCGCGTGCTGCTTAGGAGGAGGATTTCAAGTGTAAACTGGGTAGTGTTGAATGAAGTTTGGATCTTACGTTTCCCCCTAAAGCTCATGTTTGGGCTTGGTCTCCAGCTCACGGTGCTACTGGGGGGTGATGGCCCCTAAAGAGCCTGGAGCCTCATGGGAAAAAGTGAGGTCCCTGGAGTGATTGGGGTGAGCCCTCCTCCTTGCTATCTCCTGGTGGCCTGCGTGTGAGCAGTGAGTGGCTGCAGCTTCACTCTACACTGTGCTCTCTGCTTGATGTTTGTCCTCACCACAGGCCAGAGACGGCAGGGCCAACAACCATGGACAGAAACCTCTGAAACCGTGAATCCAAAAGCCTCTCTTCCATTTCAGTTGACCGTCTCTGGTATTTTGTTACAGTGACAGAATGCTGACTAACACAGGCAGTGAGAGGGCCTCCCTGAGAAAGTGGCATCTGGGTAGAGGGTTGAGTAAGGTCAGTGAGCAAGCTCCACATGTGCCTGGGTTAGAAACTTCAAGTAAACAGTAAGTGCCAGGGTCCTGAGGTGCAAGAGGATGTAGGGTATTTCAGGAGCAGTCACCCAAGATGTGGCTTGTTTGGGATGCACAAGAGTAGAGTGAGCATGTATCTGGTTCACCCAGGAAATTCTGGGCGAGTGCCTGTGGCCCTGGTGCCTCCTTTCACCACTGGAAGTCCCCTTGTTCGGATGATAAATGACACGGTCACACCCGAGACACACTTAGACACACAGTGGAAGAGGGAGGTGCGGAGTGGGCAGCGTCTCCTAGGCCGCTGGGGTAAAGCTTTGGTTTTTACTCTCTGGCCATGGGGGAATTTGAGCAGAGAGGGGACTCGTGACCCACAGGGTCAGGGGCTCTCTCTGTCCATTTTACTGGGATCTGATTGAAAGGGGCAAGGGCTAAGGCAAGGTCAATTAGGAGACCACTGCCACAGTCACAGGGGCTCGTGCAGCGCTCTGGGGGACAGACAATGGGATGGCAGTGACAGGTGAGGGGGGATCAAAGTCTGGGCTTTTAAAAGGCGATGTCAAGAGGAAACCGATGGACTGAGGCGCAGTACAGAAGCAGAGGAGTCGGGGCACCCCAATCTCTGGACACCTGTCACCCGAGCGCTGTCTGGAGGCCGCCTTTCTGACGGCGCAGTGGACGTGGACGCAGATTTACCTGGGATCTGCACAGGGTCCTGAGGAGGATTAGAGAGTGTTGTGTTCAGAAAGTAGATTGAGGAATAATTTGCATCCAGGCAAAGAGCAGAGCTCAGTGAGCTCTGAAGATGCACACAGTCTTGTAACTCACACCACCGTCTACAGAATCCTTTTAGGGGGCTCTCTCCATCCTCTGCATCCTCACGGCACCCAGCCCCTGGTACCACCACTGCCTTCCATCCCTACAGCCTGGCCCTGTCCAGACGCTGTATGAATGCACTTGGGCCACACATGAGCTCTCAGTCTGCAGCTTTCACTCAGCACAGCGCAGCTGAGATTCATCCACGCTGTTGAGACCAACAGCGGATTTATCCCTTCTTAGAGCTGAGTAACGTCACATTGTCTGGGGCTGATAGACCCCAAATACCTGTAGGGAGGACGACAGGGAATAAAAGAGAGAGAGAGAGAGAGAGAGAGAGAGAGAGACAGAGATAATATTCAAGTTACAAGGGTGACCGAGAAGCCTATCTCTAGGGGACCTGCTTTTATTATTCAGCAAGAAGAGCAAGGGAGCGGGGAGCCTACTTTTCTAGCAACTGCCCTAAGATTAGGGTAGCAAGACGAGGAAAAAGTTCAGCATTTCAAAGGGAACAAGTTAAGGTCTCTCCCCACACCCGGATGCCTGCCTGCATTTTGTATTACCCTCAGCAGATGTTATCTCTCTCTTGGGTGCACTGTGATTAGGGCCTCCCCACACAGCCAGGAAGTCTGCAGCTTTGCATACTTCTCTGTTTTCCAGGCAAGTCGACAGTGGCCTGGGACTGCAGGGCCTGTAGCCTGGTCCCCACCAATCTATGCATTATCGTGGCTGGGCCCCGATACCCCATAGCTGGGCTGCACCACAGAGTGCTTATTCACTCACTTCGTGCACATCTGGGTCTTCTGTAGTGTTGAGTGCCAGTGCATACACTTGCTATAAACATTCGTGAATGTTTACCTGGCGAAGATTTAGCACTGCTATTGATTGGTTGTATGGTTTCAGGGTAGGGCGGCTTAGTCATACTGTAAGTGTATTTTAAAATTTATATCAAACTGCACAATGTTTCCAGAAGCAGCAGCCCCATCATTTCTGCATTCCCATCGCAATTAGGAGTTAATTTGTTTCTTTGAGCAGTTGTTTTTTGTACCTTATTCGGTTTAATAAAACCCTTCCTCTTGGATGTTGGGACGTTTCGTTCTCGGCGTTTTGTACAGACAGTGCTTCGCCGAGCAGCCTTGCAAATGCGTCTCTGAGCTGATCCTTGCCTTTGGGTGAAGTATTAGGATTGTTAGACCAAATCATCTTACTGTCCACTTCGACCCACATTTCCCTCCAGAAAAGTTACATCCGTTGTGCTCTTACCCCCAAAATGGGGACCGATTTCCCCACACTCTGCCAATGATGATTTTCATTAATCTCTCCAATGTTTAGCCACGTGCTAAGTAAAATCCTTCACTAATTTTGAATTCTTTGGTTACTGCTGAAGGTGAACACCTTACCTGATTTGGGCACTTTTTTCTCTTGTATGCTGCCCATCTGTGTTTTTGCCATTTTTCTGTTTTTTAAGCGTGGTGGCTATTATTCAGGGGTGTGCGTGTGTATTTGCATGAAATTGTTCACCTTTTCCCTGGCTCCACATAGTCCGCAAATATTTATTTCCAGTTGAAAATAATCATTAACTTTTTTCAGCACTTCTTCTTAAAAGTGAAAAACCTTAAATTCAAGGGGTGACGGGAAAGTGTGGAGAATGTTTAAATTTTATTATTTATTTATTTATATGATTTCTTTGGTTTTTTTGAGACAGGGTCTCACTATGTAGTTGAGACTGACCTGGAACTCACTATGTAGCCCAGGCTGGTCTCGAACTCACAGCGGTCCTCCTGCCTCAGCCTCCCGAGGGGCCGGGATTACAGGCGGCGCATTTTAAATATTTACGCGGGAAGAAGAGGGAGGAGGTTGGCTCCTAGGGTGGGGTCGCGGAGGCGGCGCCACTTCCGGGCCTCGCCTGCAGGGGGCGCACGAGGTCCCGCATGGCGCCGGAGGAGGGGGCATCGCCCAGGAGCAGAAGGAAAAGCAGCTGCAGCCACCCAGTGAGCGGCCCAGAGAACGCAGAAGAAGCTAACAGCAAGGTAATCTCACCTGGCACGAAAGCCAGAAGGTTCCGATGTTTTAAGGAAACGAATGCAGAAAGGGCCCAGGCCTTTTGCTTCTGGGCATCACAAGGCGGCTAAGGCAAAGGCGAAGAGCGGGCTGAGGAGCTGCGCTGCACGAACTCCCTCTGCTCCGCCTTCACCTGCCGCTCCCCCGCTCGATCTGCTTTCATGCGCAGCCTGGCAGGTAGCGGCGTGAGCTGCCAGTGTGAGGGCACGGAAGTGTGGGGACCGAGGGGGACGCGTCAGCGGCACGCGCCGTCGGTCACCCGGACACCTGGACACAGCCGTGTGTCCCTGACCCCAGCAAGCAACAAGCCGGCTCTTCGGGTTGCTCTGCTGTCCTTCATCTCACTGATAGGTTTGTGTGTTGTGCCTGTGTAACATGACCTCTGCTGCATAGAGATTTCTCCTGTATTTTCTTTTCGGATTTTGTAAAACAGAAGTTTAACTGCAAGTTAGAAGAAAGCCCGCGTCATCAAACACGGAGAGCCAGGGACTGAAGATTTGCGTGCAGTTGCGTGGCCTTAACCTGTCTCGGCACTAACCGGAGCAGTGTGCCTGGGCGGTTTCCCCTTCTGGGGCACCTTCCGGGACTCGGCGCTCTCCAGCTGCACTGTTCCTGCTCGCTCTGGGGTGCAGGCCGCTCCCCTGAGGACGGGAATGGGGGAGGCAGGTGCATCGACGGGATTCATGTCTGTGCCGTTTTTGTAAATACAATAGTTTCGCCAACCTTTCACAAGTATCGGCGTTATTTTCACCTATGAGAAAGTGCACAATCCCAATCTGAAGCCCAAAAGTTGCTACACAGAACTCTGTCCTTGCAGCTTTTGTGTAGTAAGAGCAGTTCGCAGTCTTGGGCCGCAGAAGGAAGCTTCACTGGCTGCTCACATCCGTGATGTGCGGTGGCCTGTGCAGACACCACATGTGGCCTGGGCATATCTTTGTCCCAGGCAGAACATTTTCCTTCGGACCCTTATGAAAGTTGCAGTTCATGTGATTTATATAAACTTTTAAAATGTAGACACGTTTTACTTCCATACCACCTTTGCAGACGTAGCCTTCCACACTCTGCCTCCGATCCCCGCCCCTCCCCACCCTGGCTTTTTCCTTGTTCCTCTGCTCCTTTGACTCACAGTATTGGGCTGGTCAGTGGATACGAAAACACCAGTGTCTAAGTGCTGTGTTTTGTAACACAGTCATGGTGTTTTCCTTCTAATTTCTCAGTTGCTAATTGATTGCTGAATCCTGTACCGTTACTAATATTTGACAATTGTTTAAATAAAATTTGTTGATAATGAAACAAACAGTTGAGAGAACCGGCCCAGGATGGACTGAAAGCTGTCAGGACGAAGCGAATGCTGGAGATGATCTGAAGGACTTTCGATGAGCTCAGAGGACCATGGGGTTAACTCTTCCTGGGCTGTAAGCAGAAAACTGTGACAATGAGGTTGAGTCTCCTGACAGGCAAAACTGCTCTTAAAGTATTTAGACATTGTTGTCTGCAGATCCCTCTTTTTTGTTGTTTTGTTTTGTCTTTTGAGACACAGTCTCACTATGTAGTTGAGACTGCCCTGGAACTCACTATGTAGCCCAGGCTGGTCTCGAACTCGCAGCGATCCTCCTGCCTCAGCCTCCCGAGTGCTGGGATTAAAGGCGTGAGCCACCAAGCCCGGCTTGCGGATCCCTCTTTAATGAGTACCATTTTGATTTTCTGTTGGTTTATCTCTTTAGTGAGAGCCAGAAGTCATTTCTGAGACTCACTGATAGCTCCTCTTTGTAGCTGCCAGGCTGTGGCACGGCGGGGGTCAAGAGCCAGAGACGGACAGTGCAGTTTTGAGAAACGTTTCTTCTTGACAAATACATGTAGCTAAAGCTACTGCAGTTCCTGGCAAGTGGAATAGGATTGTTCTGATGAATTCGAGGGAGCATATCTGTGATCTATAGTTGTCCAATAATCTCGTGCTGCTGACATAAACAATATGTCCTAACCACTGACCAGGGTAGGCCCGCGAAGGCCTATGCTTGGTATTACATTTACAGCTAGAATTGTTCTGTTTACTCGATATAACAAAAGTTTACCTCTGAATATTTATCTATGCTTCTTACTAAATCATCTGGATGCTTCCTTGATCCAAACAAAGGAGTGTTTCATCCAAGCTGCCATGTAGTTTCTCTCACACTGTGCTAGAAATTGGCGTTTGGTGACAAGGGGCAGTCGTGCATGGGAAGAACATTTCGGGCGGTCACCAAGGCGGTCTCCCTGGTGGCCTTCTGGTGCTCCCCGGCACGCAGACACCTCTGCGCTTGTCACGTCCCCTCTGCTCTGTCCTCTTCTTCGCTCCGCTCCTCTGGAGACTCTGGAAGCCCACTGTCAGCATCTACTAGAGTCACCAGTGCTCCACGCCCTTTCCAATGAGGCACTATTTAGGATGTCATAAGTTCTCTGAAGCATCACCCGCCCTGGGTAACGGCCAACACGAGCCACTGTCCCACCTGTAATTCAGCTCGCACAGCTGGTCTTCCCCGTGTCCCACCTGGGCCGGACTCTGCTGTTTCATCTGCTGGGTGCGTTTCCTGGGTGTAGTAATGGGGTGGGGAAGCAGAGAGCAATCAACACCACAAAGACTGGCGTGGTGTCTTCGGTCACCTGACCCCCGACTCAAGCCAGGGTCAGACATGAGACCAGACGGTGGAATGTCAGGGACAGGATGGCAAGAAGACCTCTTCCCTGGTGGACAGAAGACTCTCTGCTTGTGAGTCTGTTCTCATTCATCCGTGTATCCTCCTTAGCAAAAATCACGTAACCGTAAACTTTTCTGCATACAATATATCTTAAGAATGGAAACCACACTTTTATTCCCCACAATTTAGGCATTTTACCTGCACACCTGTTTTGGCCCTGTGCGTACTGAGCACGTCCTGTACCATTTGGCTTCGCCCCCAGCCCCATTCTGCACAATTCTATGGTTTGGTTCCGCCTGACTGGAGCTGGTGATTGTCCCGGATGGCTTCACTCGGGCATCTGGAAGTCGGCAAGCTGGGTGTTCTGGGCTGCAGGGCACAGGTGGGATGATTAGTCTTGGCTCCACAGTGAGGTGGCCCAGGCCTTTTCACTTGGTGGTCTCAGCTCAGTAAGAGACGCATCTCGGTGAGAGATGCAAATCTCCATGCATAAGCCTTCACCAAACCTTTTCTTCCAAAATTTCCTGTGGTCTCATTTGGCCAAAGCAAGATACAAGGCGAAGATCAGATTTGAGGGACAGAGATGTAGACTTCATCTCGCCTCTTGGTAGAAGGAGCGGTGCGGTCACATTGTGAAGACGAATTTATGGGCAATTTTCCAATCTACTCTAAGGACTTTGTATTATGCTCGGCACACAGTAGGGAGTAATCCAGAATGACTGTTATAAGGACTACAAGACAAAGTCTACTCAGATAATGTCTGTACCTACTGCTTTGCGCCCCAAACACATCTGCTTCTGTAGAATCTTGGAGCTGAGCTACTGCTTTATCCAGTGGTGGGAAACTTCATTGCCCTAAACTTGGACATGGTGGCTCCTTTCTGTCTGAGACTTGCAGCTCACGTGGCTCCTTGTGGCCCCATCCATCTTGATGCTGGAGTTTTGCACACCTTGCTCAATTGTGGGTTAGGTCTTTATATCGGTCAGGAAATGGGGAAGCCCATTGTCTGCAAAGCATGGTCCACCCTCCTCCCTCCCTTCCTTCTGCCAGGTGCTGCCATTTGGATTCCCCTGGTGGCTTCTTCTTGTACAGGCCACCCAAGGTGTGAAACTCTCTTCATCAATAACCAAAGAACAGCTGAGGGGATCCAGAACCTTCCATGGGGGAGTTCTCCATGTAATGGAAAGCGAGAGATGGAAAGAAAAAGGAATAGACAACAACAACAACAAAAATTTGTTTTAAAAAAATCATCATTTAGATCTTCTAGCTGGTGAGTCCTTATTTTACTGTGCCTTAGCCCAGAGAAAGTGCAAAACATCAACATAGAGATAGCATATATAAAAGAGATCCACGCCATTATTCGCCGGGTGTTGGTGGATAAGAAGTGGTCCTGTTCTCACTGGTTAAAGATGGTGGAGTTGGTAGAAGGGAGAGACGCCTCTGACTCAGTCAGCTCACTCAGGGCCTGGTAAGTCCCTGTCACAAAGCCCACGAAGCCCAGGAGGCTGATGAGGGCGTCCTTGGCGATGGTGACCGGGCGCAGGCCCTCGGAGGAGTAGGTGGCGATCTCCAGGAGCGGCGGGATGACGAGGGCCAGGGCGCTGCTGCTCACGGAGCCCACCAGGGAGAGGACCAGGTCCAGGCGGGGCACGAGGATGGCCAGCACGCCTAGGAGATGACAGCGGGGGAGAACCCTGGGCTTAGCCGAGCTTTTGAGTGTGTCCGTAAATCCTCTCCTTAATAAATGAGATGTTTCTTAGGAATTCAGTTACAGAAAGTAGAAGTTAAAAGTCCTCTAATACCCCCACACTCCTAGAGGAGGCACATTAGCATTTTGCCCCGTCTCCTCCCAACCATTCAAATAAATACATGTGTATTGTTGGGAAGCAAAACCTTTCTCTGCCGACTCCTTGCCAGGGGAGGACATTGTCCACAATTGAACTAATGGTAGAAATATTAGCAAGAGAGAAAACAAGTTTATTTACGAGCTCTGGAGTCTTCAGATGACTTGGCTTCCGGATCTGCCAGAGACAGCCATTTGTACAGCTATTCGGCCAAGACAACAGAAGGGAGGGCCTCTCCTGATAGCAGCTGTCCCGGGTGAGGGTCAGCCTCTTACCAGGCTGCCATCCTCCCGGAGTGGGGCACTGACTCCGGAGTTAGATGACTGGGTTCACTTTTTTTTTGGTACAGGGGACCAAACTCCGGTCCTTGCACTTGCAAGGCAGGCCGTGGAACCACTGAGCTAAATCCCTGGCCCACTGCTGACTCTTAACTGGCCAATGACATATCACTCCCTGTCTCAGTTTCCCCTTCTGTGAAGTAGGGTTTAGCACAGTTCTACTTTATGAGGCTTCCTGTGGGGACTGAATAAAATATTACAAAATATAAACTAGGAAGAGTCTAGTACTATGCCTGGTGCAGAGCAAGTACTAGATTATAGTCAATTCTTACATATATTTGATCCACTGGGTCCTGTGACTGGATAGGAGTAAATCTGCCTAGGGTACGTGTAAGAGTAGAGCTGCCCTGGTGAGTTAAAATGTGAACAGTCCTTGAAATACAGTAAGTGCATAATAAATGCTGGCTGCACGACTGCGCCCCACCAACCTGATGGGCGTCAGGAACAGATCAAGAGAGGCCTTGCACTCTGCTTTCTACTCACAGGTCAGGCAGACCATGGCGAGGCGGACGGACAGGTCCACAGGCAGGGCCCAACGCTCCGACACCCGGGACACGGCAAAGGGAACCACGATCTCCGCCGGGACGTAGAACTGCAGGGCGTAGGTGCACAGGATGCCGATGACGTAGAGCAGCTTCACCGACTGGTACAGCCTGCAAGACAAACAGACCCACACTCTCCGAGGCTGCCAGGGACCAGCCTCTGCCCTGGGGACAACCCTCGGGGCTGCGGTGCGGTTCCCCTTCTAGAGTCCGGTGAAGTCACCCAGAGAGTACTGTGAGGACGGAGGGAAGAGGGGGGGACTCAGTGCCAACGGGGGGGGCTCCTCTGGTGGAGCACAGAGAACCCTGGGCACCGCACACACGGCCCCTTCACAGACCACACTTTGTGCGGCGGTCAGAAAGAGAAGCTCAGACACTTTCCCAGGGAGACACAGCTAAAATAACCCCAAACCAGAAGACTCTGGTCCTTTCTTGACCCTGTCAGTCCTTAGAAATTCTCTGGATTCCCCAAAGCTCTTGGCACAAATCCATCTCTCCACAAACACTTCTGCTTAGTTGGAAGAATCCGAGGTCTCGGAAGAAGAGTTACAAATGAGGTTGCAAGGAGGCTGGGGGCCGAGGGAATGAATTAAAGGAAAGAAAAGTTACTTGCAGGCTAAGCCAGAAGCAGAGAAAGAGGGTGTGCAGTTTCAGGAAAACTCTCAGAGTTTTTTATGACCCGAGGAGACACAACTGTTTTCCTTTAGTCCACTAATGTAGTAGAGCCATCTCACCACCTTGGAGAAGTGTGTTTGTATGTGTGTTTGGCCATTCCTTTAAAATAGGTAACTTGCATATTTTTGTGTTTCCTGCTTCCTGGAGCATCCTGTTTGCTCCTTTTCCAACAATCCAAATACCACCAGTACGTTGAAATCCTCTCTTTTGAGCAGGTACCACAGTTCAGACGCTTTTAGACATGGCCCAACATAATCCTCAAGAAAACTCTGCTTTATGGATGAGCAAACTGAGGCTCCAAGAGGTGAAGTAGATGAACCACGAGCATAAGCCAGTGGGCTGGGGCTGGGGCTGGGGCTGGGGCTGAGGACTGAGGACTGAGTCAGATCATTGCACAACCGTTTCCTGCTGTTCTCTTCCTTCTTCCTCTCTCTCTCTCTCTCTCTCTCTCTC